TTTAGAATGGAAGGGTGAGCTGAGATGAAAAGCAAGAAGTTAAAGAAAAGGGAAAAACAAATACACAGACAAGAAGGAGAAAAGAGAACAAGGTATCAGACAAGAAAGTTTCAAGTAGCATGAAAGTATGTTGGAAACATAGTTTCTTCCTTTCAATAGCAGAATCCTATCACAATTTATTCATTCTTATCATGATGAACATTTACATTTTACCTTCTACTCCTTGCAGCTGCACTTGCTGCCTCCTTGTCCTGTATGAGAATTTCTTTGTGACATCTATTAGAAGATGAAGGATTGATTCTTCACTTAATATCCAAATATCCTTATTTACTTCTTCTATAGTGTTCTAATATATAATCTTTGAAATTATGGTTTCATTATATTAGGCCCATATTATATATTATGTTATTATATGTTTTGTATCTTCTCACTTTCCTTAGTAATTCTACATTAAAAATTTGAGCTATTTTCTCTCTTTTTCAAGAGTCTTCATATTTTGAAAATTATTTTATCCTTAGGCATTGGAACAAAAACAATTGCCAATACAACTGTCTCCCCCCACACAAATGGTCCAGACCTGGAACTAAGATGATTTATATGTGGCTCAAATAGTTAATAATGTTTTCATTCAGCTATTAATTTTGTTAATTTCTCCTCAATATTGATTACAAATTTATTTTCTGATTTTGGTAATAAGTTATGTGGAATATAAGTTTTAAAAACCTTTGCATTTTCATTGTCAATATATTTTTCTATTGTAAAGTGAATATTTTCTTCCTTTTTTATATGTTTTTAACATCCTACTGAAATTTATATTTCATTTCTATATTGTAATAAGTATTTCTACATTATGTTTAATAAACTATTGCATTTTTATCCATTTAAATTAAACATTTTTACTTTGTGCAACATATATTTAGGCTTTATTTATTTATTCCAGTATGAGACTGGTTACATTTGAGTTTGTAAATCTTTCATGCTTACTTAAATGATTAGATTTTACTCACTTTATCTATTTGTTTTTGGATTTTCCTGGCATTATATTTATGATTATATTTAACTTTACCCTTGATTTCTGTATTTCATTATCAAAAGTTTAGACATTGGTCCTTGTCAATATTACCAGTGTTCAAACTTGAAAATAAATATTATCAAATAAATATTTGTTAAATCTCCACTATTTAAGATGGAAATTTAGTATAATACTGTTCCATGACTCCTAACACACACACGAAAAAAATCCTATCTATTTACTATTGGTAGAAGGTTAAGAGAAACTTCACTTAGGAACACATGAAAGGAGGGAGTAAGTTTATTGTGAGGAGCTAGCAAGAAACACCTTTAAGGTAAAGTGAAAAAGAAAGAACTTTAGTATGGTTCTAGTCAAATTCTTGTCAGGATACCAAGATCTCAGAATTAGAGAAGTTGTTTTAAAGGACACTCCTTCAAGACACACCAGGAATATTAGAGTTTAGCATTAGTAAAGACCTTGGTTTATCTTTTTAGGAACTGTGTCAACCTGGCTTAAAGGATTTCAGTGGAGAGATAGTGCTATGAGAATTTAAATCAGAAAAAAATCCATGAGTGTTGATACATTAGGAACTTTATTAATGTAATTGAAACATCAAATGATTCTTGAAGGAGATAAAAGCTGTCATAGTTATAGGGAGTGAAAGACTTGCAGTCTGTATGCAAGAATTATAATGAAACCATAGTCCTGAAGAAAAGATCAATAAGAATGGACAGAACAGTATAGGTGTGGTTGAACTAGTGCCAAACAGGTTTTCTGGAAAATACCAGACACAAAACATGTGGACGTAATTATAATCTAGTAAAGTTTGTGTTTGTTTGTTTGTTTTGCAGTTCTAAAGGAAGGACTGCCCATTTTTCATGTGCTCTATAAGCTCTGTTACAGCAAGGATCAATTCTGTCATTTTAATCAGCTTGAGATCCACCTTTCCCTCCCTTAACAAAAATCTAAGAGAAGTATACACTTAATAAGTATGTGCTGAAAGAAAGAATGGAAAAGCATACTTTGTTTTTTAACTTGGACAGTTATTGAGTTATTCATAAGGTATTAAAAATACATAGTCAGCATTTGCTGACTACGTTGAAGAAAAATAAATTTAAAATTGATGGACAGTGAAGGGATTTTTGTGACGTTAACTGGAAAAAAATTTGTTTTGCAGGATTTCAACTTGAGTATGCTTACAGTAGAAATCTATTTCATTAGCATTAGAGTCAGCATTCTTAAGAAATGATATGATACATTAAAACAAATATTTATTTTCCATTATCAGATTCTTCATTCTGTTCAATCCATGTACTAGTAAACTGCTTATGTTTTACTAATCTGTGTGTTGCTAAAGATTACTGAATTTCACTATCTCTTATGCTCAACAAAAAGTTCTAAATACATCAGCCAATAACATTTTTTAAAGAAGGGAATATTCAAAATACAATTAAAAAACTATTGAAGTAATAAACTGTGCATAAACTTCATAAATCAAATTGCATGTTAAGTTAAACCAAGTGTAATTTTTTTTGTTTGGTGGGCTAGGATTTGAACTGAAGTCTTCTCACTCTCAAAACTGGCGCTTTATCACTTGAGCCATACCTCCAATCCTAAATTAAATCAAATATACTAAGTAAATAATCTAAGTAAATAATCACATAATGTGTTATTAATAGTCTTTAAATTCAGTTGAATTTCTGAAAACTAAATTGAATTCAAGAGTTCTCTTCATTGTTCCTCAAAGTATATAAAGACACTTGCAATCATTAAAGTAAGTGATAAGAACTGAACCACTTGAACAGTGAATCACTGTGAAGTAAACACTGCTGCCTGTGCAGAACTCTGTGTTTCCCAGGGCAGGAACTTGTTTGAGGCTGTGTGTTTTGGGTGGTGAAAGGTGGTTACCTAGCAACGGACCCTCCTTCCAAGTCTCTGCTGCTAGAGTCAGATTGAGTATGTCAGTGAATTGATTATTAGTGTGCTGGATCTATGAAGAACAATGCAATAATGGGGTAGGGCATGATTTTCACTCACAAGAAACTTACCAGTTTTTCTCTGTGTTGGGTCCTCTCCTCATCCGGTGGTGCTCAAAGCTGGTCTAAAAGATTGAATAATGACTAAAGTACTATTCATCAGATGAAAAGGAGAGAAACTTCTGAATTCTAATTAATGATGTTTATCTTCAGATTGCTTAAAAAGAAAGCAATGAAATAGTTACTATAATAGCATTTACTCTAGGCAAGAGGCATCCTTGTCACAATGTGACCTCAGAAATCCAATAGCAAGAATGGGTTGGGATCCTGGAGAAATTCAGTTTAAACAATCTAGACAGGTTTAGACAACATTTTGCCACCTGAAAGCATAATTAACTAGGCACTAATTTATATATATTTGCATACTGTATTTTGTTTATGACAAATGAGCTTTACCATATGTTAGCTATAAAACATAAACTTTAATGAAGTTCATACCATATATTTGGTCTACCTGTGATATGCATGGCAGATAAATATCACTTTCTTTTTCATCTAATGGATGCATATTCCTAGGGACAATCCTACCAGGTGCATGCATAATTGAGAAGTCAGGTAATATGAATGTAATGGAATGGTAAAGACAGGATTACAAACCCTGCCAATGAAAAAATTAAATACAGCAAATTAGTTTCTGTGTTTTCATAGCATGAAGATGTAAGGCTTTAAAAAAAAATCTGTTAGCAGAATACTAAAATGCCAAGTGTGTGGGAGCTGGTAGAAAGGGAAAGAATAGAGACTCTGGTTTATAAAATTTTCCATGATGCAAAGAACTGAAGCCAATTTCTCCCCAGACACAGCTCTGACGTTCAGGGTGGCTGCTTGCCAATGTGCTGGAACCTATCTCTTGTACAGTAGGTCTCTGAGACTTTCCTGTGTCCCCTCCTCCTTCATCACAGCACAGACTGAATGTCATTTATTTACTCATTGAGCTCCAGAGAAAAAGAATTCTTTGTGGAACAATAAATGACAGTTGGAAGTCAAAGGCCAAATTGTCTCCTTTAGAAAATTGCTAAGCATTTGTTTTTAAAAAGGCATACTCTTCAGATTCAAGTTAATCAAAATGTGACATCAAGTCTTTCTAAATTCTCCCTCTCAAGAATATTATCAGTTCATAACATGCTTTTGTTTGAAAATAACCAATAATAATCAATATTGTTTTAGATTTTGGTTTGATCCTTGTAATTAACTTGCAGAAACCTAATAGAAGTCAGGGCCTTTAACTATAAAGTTCATTCCAGAAGTAGTGTCATTATATGCAAAAGTCATATCTGAGGTGGGTGAATACAGAAGGGATTATGCCCATCCGTGCCTAAGTGCTCTAACTGGTCAAATGTCAGATAATAAAGGAAAGAGAGCTGACAGAACAAGAAGGAGCAACAGCATCCACAAAAGGTTTAGACTAACAATTTGTTAGAATGTAAGTTATGTTATATCAAATGGATTAATTTTCAGTAGATTTTCCCCAACTATGGTAAGTACAATATGCATGTTGTATGTCAAAGAATAATTTAGTAAGCAAAAAAATATACTCTTGCGTTTTAAAATGGGTCATTTGATGCAGAAATTTCTCTCTTCTTACTCTTTCCCTTAATTGTCTCTATAAAATTATGCTGTTCTGATAACTCCGACACACCTTCTTTCTCACGGAGGTGATCAAGAGATTTTTGTATTAGCAACTGACAAGGGATCAGTTTCATGACGCATCTTTGTGTGCCCCCGAGCCCCCACAGAACAGCAGAGCTAATATCTAGTAGTCCAACAGTTAAAATAATTGATGAATGTGTGCTGAATCCTCAAGAGAGGAGGCAGGAAACAAGAAGGAGAGCGAGGAGAGTCTGGAAGGGAGGAGAATGGGGGGGGCAGGTGCTGATTTCAGCCTTGTAGCGTCAGGATTGCGTCAATTCGGGTTTCAGCAACGTCTGGAATCTGGAGACGAGCTTTACAGAAGAGCCAAAACAGGAACAGGGGTGGCAAATCACTGTGCGAGGGCGAGTGGACCTCCCTCTTTGCCTCCTCCCTATTCCAGGCGCAGGTCCCTGGGCTCTGCGCTGTTGTTTTTTACACTCGGGAAAGCCAGCACTTCAGAGCCAGGCAAGTGAATCAAACCAGGGATTTTCCGTTCAGCACCTCGGACAGAGCACGCAGCAAAAAATGGCTCCGATCACTCCCAGCCGGGAAGAATTTGGTAAGCAAGTTACTCAACTTATGGCCGCGGTTGTTCCTTGAACATCATGGGGTGCGCTGTGTTTTTCTTTCCACCGGGTGTCGAATATATATATTTTTTAAGTAGTTAATGTGAAAGGAAAATGAGAATAGCAGATGGTTAATCGTGGCTTATTTCTGCTGTCTCTCCCGTTTTTTGATATTTTTCTCCTTAAAATGACTCTGTTTAGGGCAATTTTACCTTCCAGAAGTTCCTAAATGTTCAGATAGCTCTGTAAATTGCAGCATGCACTGAGTTAAGGAAAAGACGTTTGTTGGTGGCATGCTGGTTTCATTTATTTTGTTGATTATTCTTATTTGTAGGTAAACATTTTAGGAGGAGCCAAATATGTCTGTGATTACATAAGAGTTTGAACTGGTATAAAACAACTGGTATATTGAAGGTCTGAAATGTGCATACTATTGCAGAGTTGCCATAATTTTCTCTGCTATGTGATCTTGTATCCTTGAAATATGTTGTTAGTGAACAACACAGAATCTTATGACAGCAGAGAAAAGGGACTTTCAAAATGAACCAGCTTAGCCCATTTCATTTCACTAGTGAGCTAACAGAAACCCAGAGAGTAGACAGAAAGTGTTGCAGCTGAACAGTTAGCTAAATGCTGCTGGAAACTTGAATGAGGGCTCCTATTTTCTGCTTTAGTTTTCCTTTTCCTTCAAAATGTTGGTACTATTGATCTCTTTTTGTGGATCAGTAAATAAAATTAGATGCACTTCTTAGAGTAAACAAGTAGTATTTTTAGATAAAATTATATTTCAAAGGCAAGAGATCATAATTTTACTTGCCAGTATTTTTTCAATCAGGGAATTTTATGTAAGTTTCTGGACTAGAAGTGATAACGGCTTTTAAACTGGGTGAAATGGGAAGGATTTTTGCTCTCAAAACCTTAAGATCTTATCAGTAGAGAATACACTGGTAATACCAGAGTCCACGTTATCTTGAATGCTTTGCTATTTGCTATAAGTATTAAACAGAGACAATTTGTAATGTTATATTCACAAATGAGTTTTTTCACAGTCTTCCATGTGTGGTTTATTATTTATGACGTTTATACCCAATTCTTGATCTGAATTCAGAAATTTGTTCGTACTGAGGCATCTTCAGAGAATGTACCAGTGAGGAACATGTTGTAGCCTGGCTATCGGTGTACTTAGAAAAGAATCATCATCAACTGCTTTCATTGTTCTCCTTACAGCAGCTGAGGAGTCACAGTTCATGAGTTTGCTTTTGCTCCCTGTCCTCAGAGTCCAAGAATGGGAGCACATTTCCCCACAAAGACGTGATTAGAAGGAAAACTGAACGCTGATACTAAGTTTAACTGATTGCCTTTAACTCTTGCCTCACTCTTTCAATAGCATTTACTGTTTTTTTTTTCTTATTTAGGGAATTCAAAGGTTTATTTCATTTTTACATAATTCAGTTTCCCATACCATTCAACCACAGAAATTTTAAGTTGTTACAGTTTTGTTTGCTTTTTAAATATCAGATATTTCTCTTGTTGTTTCTCAATCTTGTATTCTTTGAATTCAGTTTTGTGACTATGAAGTAGGCAGATAGAATAATTCAGGGAATGGAACAGAGGAATAACAAAAAATTGGTTTCTCTGCTTATAAGCATTCTTAATCCTTTTCCTTACTTTTAACTTTATTATTCACTATTTGAAATAAAAAGTGGATTGGAATAGAATTGAATATTTGTAATATTTAATTACTTTTATTCACTTTGATTATGTTAAATATGGAGTTATTTGTTGCAACAAGTCCAGATGTAGCAATAGTGCTTTTATATATACAGTGAGTATTACTACTCATTTGTTTGAGAAATATGCTTACATGTGAAATACGATACTCTTCATGCACAATCAATATCACCTCATGTCAATGATTTATTGTGCCCTCAGTCAAGGAAATAATGCCAACTTCAGTTTACTACCATTTGCCATGTGGAAATATGCTAAGAAAAAAGATCAGTTATGGATTAAATTGAACTTTATCTATATTCACTCTTCTCATTACATATAGGGTGCTGATTCATTTATAAACATTTTTTCTATTTTTATCTCATTTCAATTAATTTGTACTTTTGATAATGCAGTGTTTGAGAAAATTTAAGCACCCATAAAAGGGGAATGAAGTGTTATGCATTAAATAATATTAGTATTCTATTGCTTTTCCTCTTTTGTCCTTTTCTTCTCCTGGTATATGTACATTTTCTACTGTTCCATAATTGGGATGAACATTTTTTAATTAGTTTGTGGCAATAACAGATAGACATTATGTTTTTAAAATTATGTAAACCATTGAGTCCCCAGATTGTTGCTGCTTGAATCTTGGGTAAGTAAAGAAGCATAAAATTATAAAACTTCTCAATATTTGAAGAATGTGCATTTAGTGTTCCAATAATAATTGATGCCTTTTGAAAGCTTTGAAATGTCAATGAAAAAGTAATGAAATTAGTATGACCCATCATTTTGTAGTTGACTAATGTTCTCTGAGAATACAAAGATAAGTCAAAGTTATTAAGCATACATACCCCCATATCTGGCCCAAACCCAGTTTCATCTTTTCATATTACTTATGAAAAATTACTGAGATGAAGGAGTTTCTGTCATCCTGTGTTTTTTTCCTCTTTGTTACAAAGGGCATGTGTTTATACCTGAAGTCAGTGTGAAATGTGTATATAACTCATGTACAGAACTGTTGGAAAGTAATTCAATTGGTCTAGCCTGAAGCAATTACTAACCTTATTATGCTTTTCCAATAGGCTTTTGTCTTCGCTCTACTTCTTTAATGTATGTTATTGGTCGCTTGATTTTTCAGATGAAATCCCTACAGTGGTAGGGATCTTCAGTGCATTTGGCCTCGTCTTTACAGTCTCTCTCTTTGCATGGATCTGCTGTCAGAGAAAATCATCCAAGTCTAACAAGACTCCTCCATATAAGTTTGTGCATGTGCTTAAAGGAGTTGATATTTATCCTGAAAACCTAAATAGCAAAAAGAAGTTTGGAGGAGATGACAAAAATGAAGTCAAGAACAAACAAGCAGTGCCAAAGAATTCATTGCATCTTGATCTTGAAAAGAGAGATCTAAATGGCAATTTCCCTAAAACAAACCTCAAAGCTGGCAGCTCTTCTGATCAAGAGAATGTAACCCCAAAGCTCTTTTCAGAAGGAGAAAAAGAGGCAGTTTCCCCTGATAGCTTAAAATCCAGCACTTCCCTTACTTCAGAAGAGAAACAAGAGAAGCTGGGAACCCTCTTCTTCTCCTTAGAGTATAACTTCGAGAAGAAAGCATTTGTGGTGAACATCAAGGAAGCCCGTGGCTTGCCAGCCATGGATGAACAGTCCATGACCTCTGACCCATATATCAAAATGACGATCCTCCCAGAGAAGAAGCACAAAGTGAAAACCAGAGTGCTGAGAAAGACCTTGGACCCAGCTTTTGATGAGACCTTCACATTCTATGGGATTCCCTACACTCAGATCCAAGAGTTGGCATTGCACTTCACAATCTTGAGTTTTGACAGGTTTTCAAGAGATGATATTATTGGAGAAGTCCTTATTCCTCTTTCAGGAATTGAATTATCTGATGGAAAAATGTTAATGAACAGAGAGATCATCAAGAGAAATGTTAGGGTAATTTATTTTGAGTGCTAAAGTATTTGTAAACAATCTTTAATGTAGGCTTTTGTATCTAGGGAGTTTTCATTAAAATGATGTTTGTACATATTATCCTTACCATGTTTAATTATTATTAATTATAAACAAATAGAGAACAAAGAGTAAGTAGATGAAAGAAAACTTAAACCATTACTGCAATGCTCAAAGTATTTTAAAGATCTAAAATAAAGAGGCATACTTTTGATATTTAAGCATAATTTGCGTACATTTTTTGTTCATTTCTATTATATTTTGACAATGACTGTCACTTTAAAACTGATGTGAATATTTCTTAATCACAATCTAGTTAACAAAGATGGTTCAAGTTCAGAATAATTGAATTTTAAGTTGAAATTTGAAATTAAATCAGTCCTTTCTGAAGATTTGGAAGTTGTGTTGATTTTTGATGAGATTACTTTTTACCAAGGGACAGCACATTAGACTGAGTTCTCTGTGCCCATTTATATGCTGTAAAATAGGAAATGAGTTGTTCTAACTTTGTATTTATGTTACTTCACTATTCTTGGATTATTAGAAAATGATGACATCAATTAAATAAATTTAAGCCTATTTACGTGTTAAATACAGAACTCTATTGATGCAAACAGTGGTATTTCACAACAAATTATTTTTAGAATGGCATAATTTAAAGAATGCAACAAGTCTGCTAACTTTTTAAATATCATAGTATTTTAGAGCTGAAAATAGTTTTAGAACTTACTGTGACCATCTCTTTTCCTTATATGTGTTCAAACTAATAAAAGTCAAAGTCCAGGGAAATTATATAGCTTGTTTAATATATCTGACTGATTAGTGGCTTAATGGGATTAAAGAAATGTCTTTCTCCTACTCCTACAGCCTTTGGAGTACTTATTCATATAGCTACTCTATGTCAAGTTTTGTATAAATATTTGTCAGTTTTAAGAGTTCTTACTCAGTCATCATTCTTAGCTATTTCCAAGCCCAAGTTAACATTTTGCTACTTTAGTTAAAACTTAAACTTTGAGTTATTGATTGTATTACTAATGTCTTCAATGTGCAAAATAAATCTAATTATCTTGTAAGATAGGATGCTATGACACTAATAACAATGTGTTAAAATTTGGAATCAATTCTCTCTAATACTTACATTCAATTTCTTCTTTTCATTAAAGGGAGATTTGGGGTGGGGAAGAAACCAAAACTTTTAACTCCATCATGCCTCTGGGGCACAAGAATTGTAGGAGTCAGAATAAATCTTATTTGGTCTGAATTCCAATTTCAATAATGTAGTACTAAAGAACTTCAAATCAAACTGGAGTCATTTGATCCTATACACTCCCACTCAAGGGATTAATAAGTTTTATTATTAATAGTAACTTTAAATAGAAAAAATAGTGAAATTCAAAAACATTCTCATGTAAAGTATAATATAAATAATCTTTCAAACATTTTGAGCAATGGGTGTGGCTAACTCCTTGCAAAATTTAGCATTCTGTAGTTCCTAAAAAGACCACAAGATGTCAGGCAATGGTTTTTAGGCATGAGAGCACAGTTACTCAGATTTCTTAATATTCTTGAGTATAAAGAAATAGGAACATTAGAGTTAAATAAGAATGTCATTCTATTGCTGTAGAATTTTGATGAACATACAAACTTCAAAACTAAAAGAATAATAATATACTTATACTGCATTTCTCTTTGTTCAGAAGTCTTCTGGACGGGGTGAATTACTGATCTCTCTCTGCTACCAGTCCACCACAAATACTCTCACTGTGGTTGTCTTAAAAGCTCGACACCTACCCAAATCTGATGTGTCTGGACTTTCAGGTAAGAATGCTCCTGAAATACTCAGATTCAGCCTACAAGTGGATAGTGTACTTAACAAAATTGTTACCAACAATGATCTCTGATTTTGTTTTAGCTTAATTCACAACCACAAGTTACATGATTGTTTCTCTTTTTCTCATTTTTTGAAATTATGCGTTCCAATGCTATCAGCAGTAAAGAGGAATCTACATAGTTCTAAGTTCTAAGACAAAACCAGTACATGGAAACTATCTGCTTGAATGGGACAAAAGCAGGAATCAATGTCAAATGAAGATGTATGAGTTCATTACCAGCATATACATAGGGAAATAAAATTAAGGCTCAAGGGAAAAGTTTTAAATTTTTTCATTTAAAAATTTTTTGTTTATTTATTTGGTGGGAGTAGGGTTTGAACTCAGAGTTTGAGGCTTGCAAAGCAGGTGTTTTCCTTCTTGAGCCACATATCCAGTCCATTTTGCTCTGGTTATTTTGGAGATGAGGTCTTCCAAACTATTTGCCTGGGCTGGCCTCAAACTGAATTTCAGAATATCTTAGCCTCTCAAGTAGCTAGAATTATTGGCTTGTGCCAATAATAAACAAGAAAATAGTTTTAATTTTAACATTTCAAATGAGCCCACTCACCCTTACTCTTCTTTTATTTTTATTAATTTTCTTCTAATATTTTATGGTTATGCTTTAAAAATTAGCTTTTAGTTTCATAACTAATTTTGCAAAAACAAAACACCAAACTCCTTTGGCAAACAGGCAAAAAAATAACATGAACTATAGTTTAAAATGATCGGAATTCAGATCCTGTCACTTCAATTTCTGAGTGTAGTAACTTTATGAATATTCTTAAGCTATTTACAGAGAGGACATGGTAATACTTATATTGAGGCATTTTGAAAATTAGGTATTTACATTTCATTAAGGAATCATCTAAGATGATTATTATTATTTAGTGACAGAAGCTGAAAACATAAGCCTCAAAATTTAGATCAGTAAGCTAAATTGTTATGCCTCATATAAAAAAAGATGAAAATAGTATAATTAAATATGTCATGAAGTAGCATGATGCTAAAATTTACACAGTAAGACTGACATGAAAAAGATCAGCTCTGGGAATTAGTAAATCCAGAAAATGACTAAGAAATGTCAAAAAATATAAGTAAAGGACATAGCCATTGTGTATTCCAAATCCTCAGTCAGCAGAAGAAGCAGTACAAATTCAGAGATAGACTTACCCTAAACCATACAACTCAGTATGGTCAGCTGTTAAGTAATTTTTTTAACTTCTATCCCATTTCCTAGATTGAGTTATTAATGATCACAATGTACCCACAGGACATTCTCTTTTCTTCTTTATTATGATACCTCTTCTTTCTGCCATTACAGTTCCTTGTCTGGTATTTGGTTTAGTACTGCTATCTCTTCTATTACATACTCTTTCTTATTTTAAATATTGTTGACAAGAAAAAAAGCAAACCTATCCATATTTTCTGTGTGTTCAGTCTCACTTTTACTGTAACTATGTTGTATTGGAATGACATAATCTCTCAGGGCATCATTATCTTAAGATAAGCTCTGGCCTGGTGGAGTGGCTCAAGTGGTACAGCATCTGCCTAGCAACTGTGAGGACTTAAGTTCAAACCCCAGTATTTCCACACACACACAGAGACACAAAGTCAGCTCTTGCATTGGACATTGTCAATGTAATGCTTATTCTGTACTATTTCAGATCCCTATGTCAAAGTGAACCTGTACCATGCCAAAAAGAGAATCTCCAAAAAGAAAACTCATGTGAAGAAATGTACCCCCAATGCAGTGTTCAACGAACTGTTTGTCTTTGATATTCCTTGTGATGGTCTTGAAGAAATAAGTGTTGAATTTCTGGTTTTGGATTCTGAAAGGGGATCCCGAAATGAAGTGATTGGGCGGTTGGTTCTGGGTGCAGCAGCAGAAGGAACTGGTGGGGAACACTGGAAGGAGATCTGTGACTTCCCCAGGAGACAAATAGCCAAGTGGCACATGCTGTGTGATGGTTAGCCATGAGTTGAATAAGGCATTTTATTAGGCAAGGAGCAATTTTCTTTCTTATGTGTGACTGGAAGCTTGTGACACAACAAGCTACCTAATTATTGCTATTATTTGGTAAGAAGTGATTGAATTAGTAGACCAGAAAGTAACTGTACATGTGTGTCATGATAATTTCCCCCTTTCTTAGAGAAGTTGGACAAATTTTCATAAGATATTTGATTTCCTCTACAGTAATAAAAGTGGGGATGGTCAAGCCCTTTATGAGAACTGCACCAAATTCTCAAGTCATGGATGTGATTTAGAGGTGCTTATGTCACTGGAAGTTCAGGTGACTATTAAGGTTAAGAATTGACAACCATGTCTTCTCTTATGAAAATTCATCCATTTTTCTTCTGGTTGGGGAAATCAAATTTTCTTTAAATCCAAAGATATTAAAGAAATGTCCTCTAGATTGTTTTTTTTAATTAATTATGTCATGTACAAAAGGTTATCCTGCATATAAAAGTATCTGGTCATTTCTCCTTGGCTTGTAATTATTTAATACACTTTTATCATAAGAGGAGTAACTTAGGTTCATTTCAAAAGGACAGTGAACAGGCTGAGAAATCAATGTATCAAAGGGCTGAGTTGAGAACACTGTGGCTGAAATATGATTTTTCTCCCCCTAAGGTTACACGTGAGTCAAAATGTAAATTATAACTTCATGTAAGAACCATGCCCTTGAGTTATCACTGCCTGTCACAAGCTTCACTGTGGCCTAAGAAACCCTTATTTACGTTTGTGAAGTTGTTGAATTAGCTAGTAAATAAAGAAATATACTTTCAGCTAGAAATTCAGTGAGAAATGCAGTTTTCTTATAGGTAATATGTACAGTGTGCAAGTGTACTTTCAAGGCCATTCTTTTTCCCCAGAGTGGGTATGGCCATGCAAGTCTTTGTTTAACTATTCTCTCCCAGGAAGGACTAAGCTATTTGAAAAATAAAAAAAAAAAAAAAAAAGGAAAGACTGTGAAGTTTTATACATTGCCAGACTGAAACCAACAAACTAAATAACACGAATAAAATAATTGTTGAAGAGTAAGCCTAATATAACTTACATATGGTCACAAAATATACTTAGGTTGTCAAATTAGCACAACGATGTATGTTTTCTATCTTTTTTAGGCTAATTTTTTTTGAGCTGCTGTCTGTAAAATGGTTTAGAGATGTGGTGTGTCTTGTACCATTTTCAGTACCAAGGTTCTGAAATTCATTCAAAACCTGTTAGAGGAAAGCAGTGCCCCCTGATTATTTGGAAAGAATCAATTTGAAGATAATATCACTACATGTGGGTTTTTACAAAAGTATGGGTGAGACTTAGGTGCAGCTGACTTCTTACATATGCAAGTTAAAGAATAAAGTCTACTGAAAATTTTACATTTTGAGTCAGGTTTTGTGTTAGTACTTTAGCAGTTTTTGAGAATGTGTTTGATATCACAGTGTTTGTAAATTCAATAAAAATGCATTTTCCAAACAACTTATACATGCTTTTTAGACTATACCTAATGTAAAGAAAAATGTGTTACGTTCTATATGTACAAAAACTGAAACTCAGCCTCTTTTTTGTGCTTTAAGATGACTTTGGGACTAAAATTGAATATTCTACGATCATGTTCTTCATTTCATTATAAAGTCATCTCACAGCATATTGGTCCACTTAGCATTTTTGTGAAAGCATCATGGAATGAGTTTGGGGGAGCAGAATGGCCTTTTTATGTATGTACATTTGGTATCATGGGCCATGGAATGTAATCTATTTTGGAGCTCTGAAATGTGTGGAGTCAATTCTAAGTATTCTACACAGTAGCAAGAAGTTAATGGTGGTACCAGCTATCCTATGTTTATGGGAGGAGGGTTTTTTTTTAAAGCAGAACAACAAAACTAATAATAAACACTTTTGAAATTCAATGGATAATTTGTAAATAGTTTTTAATTTTTACAATTTAAAGTGTTTTGAGCGTGAAATGTTGAGTAAAACTATTTGTAACTGGTTTGAAGAAAAAGGAGAGAAGCAAGAAAGGAGAAAAGTAAGAAAGGAATTGAAACAGGCAGGGAGATATGTGATCTCATCATTTCTGAAAATTGTACTGTTTTATGATGTAATAAAATATCAATGTGAATATCTTGAATTCTGTTACAAATCCTGCACTGTATTAAACATGTAAATTAATTGTTTGTCTGATTAGCCAATCTAACCACCCTAATGGGGAGGTGTCCATGTGTAAAGAACTGTGTAACTCAGTAACTGACTTGTTCTGATGTTGTAGCTCAATAGAAGTGATTTGGAAGGAAGCATGGTGTATGAGATGGTGTCTGTTCTTTTGTGCCAGCTCTGTATGATGTTTGTAAGATCATGTTTGTAAGACATGAATAAATTGCTGCTTTTGCCCACCCTATATCATCTCAGACTTTCTATCAACAGAGTCTGTAATTTGCCTACTCTTATTGCTGTCTGAACTTCTATTTTCTCTATTAGATCACCAGATATAGATGAGGGAACATTAGGGTTTAAATACAAAGATCTTTCAAACATTTTTATTTTATTTAATTCTTATTACAAAAATTGAGGGCAGATGTACTCATACCTATAGAATATATGTGAAAGTATTTATAGTACAGAAGCAAAGCCCAATGCTTTAAAAATTAAACATACCTGCTATGTGACCTACTCATTTTACTCCTAAGTATTTACCTAAGAGAAATGAAAACAAATGTTTACAATGAAGACTCACACATGGATTTTCATGGGAGCTTTATTTATAAGCATCAAAATAGAATTCAACCCAATGTTCCTTAACAGGTGAGTGGATAAACTCTGGTATAGCCACATAACGGACTACTACTCAGGAATAAAAATGATACATGCAACAACATTTTTGACTCTCTTAATAATTTTGCTGAGAGAAGAAAGCAGGCATGGGCAGCAAGCGAAAGGATTTCCTTCAATTTAAAACCATGATAGATGGAGATAAATCTTATGAAACCTACATTTCAATTCCCAGAGTGGAGCTTTGTGTGGGATGGTGAAGCTTCTATGTTGCTTTTAGAAACACGATTACATACTTCTTTGCCTTAGAGTATAATATAGCATTAAGACCCAAAATGAATGTGGCTTCAAGTTGAAAATGGTGATAGATGGAAAGAAATTCTATGAAACCCAGACTCAATTCCCAGAGTGGAACATTGTGCAAGACTGAACTTTCTAAGTTAGTTAATTTTAGAAAGGAAGGTACATACTTCTTTGACTAGAGCACAAAATAACATTATGAGCATAAATGAATGAGGCGTCATTCTACACCACTCTCTTCAGGCAAGCAAATCAATTACCTCCTTGCTAGAATTTTAAGAGGATCATTCCTATATTCTTTGACTTCTTTCTAAATTTCACTTTCTTTTCTATATTTTATTATAATTCTTACCCCATTTTAGTCACTAGTCTTTATTTCTTCTTCTTTTTTATTTTTTATGGTCTAATTTATCATTTTTATCTCTTTTCTTTACCTTCTTAACATCACTGCCATTTATTATCTTTTTAAATCTTCTCCACATCCTTGAAAGGGACTGATTTCATTAGTAAAATGATGTGGTAATGCAAGACATATATCTTCTTAAAGAAGGGGGAAAATTCAGAATGTCTGCAATATTCCCATCAGACACCAGCTATTATATATGGGCACAGTGAGAACCCAGAGATATTTTCTACATCATCTGTATGCAAGTATTACATATGACCACACATCACAAAACATTCTTCATCATGGAATGTCACTAGAACTTGCTGCTATATGAATCAGTATAAAATCATACTAATTGTATTAAACGTGTACATGAATATATTTAAATAGCTAGCCATTACATATAAGAGATGAAGTGATTTTTATTAAATGTCTACCTGCCCAAAACAGCAGCTATGTTAGGAGATTCTCCAAGGGAATTAGTCATTAGGGAAATACTAACTAAAACCACAATAAGATAGCACAGCATACCCATTGGAGAAATAAAAATCTTTAGACATGACAAGTGTTGGCAAGGATGTGGAGGAAATAGGCCTCTTCCACGTGGCTGATGGGAATGTAAAATGCATAACCACTTTGAACAACAATTTGTCATTTCCTTTAAAAATTAAACATACCTGCTACGTGACCTACTCATTTTACTCCTAAGTATTTACCTAGGAGAAATGAAAACATATGCTTACAATGAAGACTCACATGTGGATTTTCATGGGAGCTTTATTTATAAGCATCAAAATAGAATTCAACCCAATGTTCCTTAACAGGTGAGTGGGTAAACTCTGGTATAGCCACATAACGGACTACTACTCAGGAATAAAAATGATACATGCAACATTTTTGACTCTCCTAATAATTTTGCTGAGAGAAGAAAGCAGGCATTCTCTTAAAATCCCAAAATGTAAAGTGTATAACACATAATTTTTATGGAAAATTTTAGAAAATGCAAACTAATCTATAGTGATAAAAAAGCAAATCTGTGTTTATTTAGGGATGAAGGAACAACTATGGAGAGGTGTAAATGAGAGAACTTAAAAAGATTAGAAAGAAATTTGAGATGATGGCTATGCTAATTTCCTTGATTTGGTAACAGTTTCATGGATGTGTACATGTAACAGAATTTGTCAAATGATATGTTTTAAATATGTTCAGTTTACTATATGTAAATTATACCTCTGTAAAGCTGTTAACTAGAAAAATACAAAATAGAAGCCAGTTAAAAATCCCCAAAAGAATAATACTACTGCTAGCAGATGTGTAACTTGTGAAATTTCAAACTATATAACATATTTTGAGGATAGTTCTCTTTTTCTTAATGTCCATCTTCTTAAGAATGTGTGGATGCATGGCTGTTTTTTAAAGCCATATGAAATAGTTCCTGTGTAATCATTCTGCCAAGTCATTTTTTTATCTAAGAAAACTTTTTATTTTTAATTTTTAAGAAATTGCCTCTGTGTGTGTGTGGTGTGTGTGTGGTATGTGTGTGGTGTGTGTAGTGTGTGTGTGGTGTGTGTGTAGTGTGTGTGTGGTGTGGTGTGTGTGTGGTGTGTATATGGTGTGTGTGTGGTGCCTGTGTGTTGAGTGTGTGAATAGTGTATGTGTGGTAAGTGTGTGTGGTATGTATGTGTGGTGTATGGCTTGTGTGGTGTGTGTGTGGTGTGTGGTCTGTGAGGTGTGTGTGTATGTTGTGTGTGGTGTGTGTGTGTGGTATGTGTGTGTGTAGTGTGTGTGTAT